ATCGAGCCACTGCACTCCAGCCTGGGCGACAGAGTGAGACTCCTTCTCAAAAAAAAAAAAAAAAACACACACACACACACAAAAACAAAACAAAACAAAAAACAAAAAGGAAGGAAGGAAGGAACGTGAGCACGCACAGTTCAGGGACTCTGGCGATAAAGCTGCCGGAGTCCGTGGCGAGCAAGGAGCCCGAGGAGGAACAATGCAAAGATGGCTTTTGAGAACAGCCGGTCGGGATCTTGAAACTATTAAAGCCTAAAATCATTAGCACTGTTTTCTCCCTCTAAGACATATGTGGCTTTTCACTTTATTTTCAACTGAATGCTTTCACTGCTCTGGGTTTAGCAAGCTTTTGGTCTTAAAAATATCCAACAATGCAGGTAAGAGGCCAAATGACTTTATGCATGAAATATTGTTAGGATGAGGCATTTTCCCATAGAAAGGTGACCAGATTTGAAGAAATTATTTAGTCAGTATCAACATTTCTCTGGATTTATATACAGTACAGATTTTACTTTCAGGCTTTTCTAGTAAAGTTTCTAACAGACCTGGAAAGGAGAAGGAAGAGTAACATCTGTTGCAAAACCCCAGTTACATGTAGGACAAATAAGAATCTGGGAGAGAGCTGACTTACTCAAATGACACACTGATTTGGGATATATTAGGGAGAACCATTAATTCTTGTCCATAAGGCTTGATTTAGAATTGTTTTTTATTTTAATGGAAGTTCTGTAGAAAGAAAGGAATACTTGGAAAAACTGAGCCACTTGTAAATACTTGGAAGATGAGAAAAGAGAGTGGTTTAAAATCTTCTTACCGTATTCCTATTCTCCTCCTCTTCCTCCTTCTCATCATCATCAGAATCACAATCAGTCAGTCAAAGTTGGCACTTTATTAGTGTTGAACAAGGTCAGTATGAAAACACAAAGTATAGGGAAGTTGTGACACCCAATGTGTACAATTTCTAAGTCACACTTCTCTGTTTCACATTTATATAGTTACTTCTCAGTTTCACTTGAATATGGTTATAGAACCATCAGGTTTGATTGCCTGTTGCATGGTAACAAACCAATGCACCAAAACAGTGGGGATTGCAGCAGAGAAAGAGTTGAATAATTGTAGGGCAGCTGAACAAGAAGACAAGATGAGAGGACTCTTCAAATCTGCCTCCCTGAGAGGTTTGGGGATGGGGATTTTAAGGGGTCTGGACAGATGATGGTCCAAAGTATGGGGATTGCTGATTGGTTGAGAAGTTTGGGGGTGAGGTCACGGGACCAGGAGATGCTGAATCGGTTTCTTGGTAGGGATCTTCAGACCGGTTGGCATCAGCCATTCAGCTGGAATTCAGGATCTGAAAAACACCTTAAGCAATTCTTAGGTAAAAAGGTCTCGTGTCAGATTCTATCTATGGGAGCAGTGGGGGAGCAGGTGGTCAGTGTGCTGCGTGACCCTCGATTGGTTAGCAGCTGCAGGGAGATGAGTCAGAGCACACCAGTGCCTGGTTGATGCCTGACCACAATTCAGCCTAAAGCCTGGCTTGTAATTCTCATTAACCCTGCGAGGGTGGTTTTTCCCTTGGGCTTTTGCCCCATTCTAAGCAACACTTCTATGGATATTTTTGACTACATGTTTTTTGTAGTGCACGCTGGAAAATACTCTGTGTGCTCAGATTATTTTTTTTCCAAGACTGTTTCTCATTTATTGAGTGCTTACTCCATGGTAGTTAGGCACTGGCCTGGGCACTGGAAAACAAAGGAATATAACATGGCCCCATCTTTCTCAGCATAAAACTTATCAGACTGTGTCCATTGTGTTTATTTAAGAATATATTTACAATACTAGTGGTTCTGTTTATAGCTATCCATCTTACCTCACCCCCTTCCCCCACATAAAAAATAAGCAATGTTCAATTTTAAGACACTATCAAGGCCAGGCACAGTGGCTCCCACCTGTAATTCCAGCACTTTGGGAGGCCAAGGTGGGCGGATCACCGGAGGTCAGGAGTTCGAGACAAGCTTGGCCAACATGGTGAAACCCCATCTCTACTAAAAATACAAAAATTAGCCGGACGTGGTGGCAGGCTTCTGTAATCCCAGCTAGTCAGGAGGCTGAGACAGGAGAATCACTTGAACCCGGGAGACAGAGGTTGCAGGGACCTGAGATCACACCATTGCACTCCAGCCTGGGCGACAGAGCAAGACTCCATCTCAAAAAAAAAAAAAAAAAAAAAGCCAGGCATGGTGGCTCACGCTTGTAATCCCAGCACTTTGGGAGGCCCAGGCGGGTGGATCACAAAGTCAGGAGATCGAGACCATCCTGGCTTAACATGGTGAAACCCCGTCTCTACTAAAAATACAAAAAAATTAGCCAGGCATGGTGGCGGGTGCCTGTAGTTCCAGCTACTTAGGAGGCTGAGGCAGGAGAATGGTGTGAACCGGAGAGGCGGAGCTTGCAGTGAGCCAAGATGGCGCCACTGCACTCCAGCCTGGGCGACAGAGCAAGACTCCATCTCAAAAAAAAAAAAAAAAAAAAGACACTATGAAGCTACAGAAATCAAGGCAGTGTGATATTGGAGAGGACTTAGACATACAGAATGGAACCCACACATAGATCCTGACAAATATGGCCAATTGATGGTTTTAAATTGTGGTAAAATACATGTAACATAAATTTACCATCGTAACCATTTTTAAGTGTACAGTTCAGTATGGTTTAATACATTCATATTGTTGTACAACTACTTTCCAGAACTTTTTTGTCCTGCAAAACAAACTCTATTTCCGTTAAACAAGAACTGCCCTTTTCTCCTTTCCCCAGCTCCTGGCAACCCCCATTCTACTTTCTCTTTCTATAAGCTTGACTATTTTAGGTGCCTCATATAAGTAATCATATAGTATTTGTGACTGGCTTATTTTACTTAATGTAATGTCCTCAAGGTTCATCCATATTGTAGCATTTGTCAGAATTTCTTTCCTTTTTAACACTGAATAATATTCTCTCGTATATGTGTACTACAGCTTGTATATCCATTCATTCATGGATGGACACCTGGGTTCCTTCTACCTTTTGGCTATTGTGAATAATGCTGCTATGAACATGGGGTATACAAATATCTGTTCAATTCCCTGTTTTCAATTCTTTTGGGTATTGTTATACTGTGAAATATATATTTGGTCTTTGTTCCAATTTCCTGGCATACAACTCCTAAGATCCTTGGAATCTCCAAAGTGATGTCTTTTTGTATGCTAATGAGTTGACAGATGGCTGGTAGCTTCAGGATGGGGGCTGGTCACCAGAAATGATTAGAAGGTTGGGACTTTTGGCCCTAGCCCCATCCTTTAGAGAGGAAAAAGGGGCTCAGGGTTAAGTCGATCACCAGTGGCCAATGGTTTAATCAATTATGCCTACCCAACAAAGCTTCTATAAAAAACTGCAAATGACAGGGTGTGGGAAGTTTCTGAATAGTTGAACTTGTGAAAGTTCCTGGAGGGTGGCATGCCTGGGAGGCTATAAAAGCTCCACGTCCGTTTTCATCTTTTACCCTATAGGCATCTTTTCATCAGCATCCTTCGTAATAGTCTGTATAAGAAACTGGGAAGTGTAAGTTAAGAGTTAAGTGTCTTCCTGAGTTCTGTGAGCCACTCTAGCAAATTAATCGGACCAGAGGTGGGGATCCCCCGTTTCTAGCCAGTCAGTCAGAAGTGCAGGTAAAGCAACCTGGGGCTTGCAATTGGCATAGGAAGTGAGGGGCAGTCTTGGGGAGAACCCCACACACTTCTGGTGTCTGAAGTACTCTGTGTTGGGAGAGTACAGTAGGATAAATCAAGTTTGGTTATTATTAGTAGTATATATTATTTAGTATATATTATTATTAATATATACCCAGAAGTAGAATTGCTGGATCATAGTGTAATTCTCTCTTTAATTTTTTGAGGAGCCACCATACTCTTTACCTTAGTGGCTACACCATGTTACATTATCATGACAACAGTGCTCAAGAGTTTCAGTTTCTCCATATTCTTGCCAGTGTTACCAAAAAGGGGTCCTGACCCAGACCCCAAGAGAGGGTTCTTGGACACAAGTCCATAGAGTAAAGTGAAAGCAGGTTTATTAAGAAAGTAAAGGAATAGGCCAGGCGCGGTGGCTCATGCCTGTGATCCCAGCACTTTGGGAGGCTGAGGCGGGTGGATCACAACGTCAGGAGTTGGAGACCAGCCTGGCTAATATGGTGAAACCCCATCTCTAATAAAAATACAAAAATTAGCTGAGCATAGTGGTGCGTGCCTGTAGTCCCAGCTGCTCGGGAGGCTGAGGCAGGAGAGTTGCTTGAACCCAGGAGG